TCATTTAAAAGTCAGTAGGATTTAGTTGTGCCCCATGGTCGGCAGGGGCGTAATCGTGATATCATATCATATCATACTTCATATCATATCATATCATATCATACTCCCTTTAAAAGAGGGAGTTGTGGAAAAACTTTCTGTGGACTATATTACCCCTATTCTTGTTTGATATTACATTCTAATCCTAACTAAACTAAATTAATTATTGTTGTTAATTAATTATATTATATGCCACTTCAAGTTTGTCTAACTTAGTCCCTAAAACTTCCAATATTATTGTTGAACTCTACATCATATTAATTATTACTAATGTACAATAATATATTAGTAGGTAAATTGCATGTTAATAAACTATTCGTGGAAAGAAAAGAAAACATAGAATTATTCTAAAATTGTACCCTGACACTCATATAGAAAACTTAGAAGGAGTATTCTTGCGTTTAGGTAACGTGACAGCAGGTACAAACATTTAATTTTATAAAACATTAGGATATTTAAGTGTAGCATGATACAAGTGGAAATTTATAACTTTCATAAACTATAAGGTATTTAAGTTCAATTAAGTCTATATAGATTTAAAACTTTGTTAACCACAAATAATCGTATGTGATCCTATTGATAAATAATATTCATTATGTAATATGAGGCTAGAGGCTTAGCTTATATTTATATAGTAGAAGAGGTGTGAAAAAAATTAAAGCATTATATTTTAAATAATACCAATATTTTGAATTATTTCCTGAAATTATATACATTACGTAGAAAACTTTAGAAGAGGCTTTCGAAGGACTACTACAGAGTGTTGGACATTAGATAAATATTAGACAACTAAAATCTATGATATCATTTTGCAGAAATCGGCGATACGTAAAAAATATCAGGTGTCATATGAGATAATATTCATACATAATATAGCATTGTAAGCTATAATCTAATATATTAATGAATTTTAAATATAAGAATTTGTATGAAAATATATGCTTAAAATGTGGAAGAGCTGAGAGTGGAGAGATTTGATAGACGAATTGTGATTTTTGTGGCTTTCGTGGGTTTCGCTTTTGGTTCCTAAACATGACCAAACCCTAGCCCATAATCAAATAAAAATGACTCTATTTTGTCGATATCTTGAAAGGGATGTATCAATTAACATTTTTATAACCATCGATATATTAGAAAAAAAATCCCTAAATAAAAGAAAACAATACAGAACCATAAATATTATCAAGTAAGGTTTTTAACCTGATATATCGGCCGATATTTTAATACATTACCTATAAGATCAATATTTAAAGATAATTTAAATATAAGTTCCTTGATTTTAGATCTCCAATAATTCTATATTATTCCCTCAAAATTTTAAAATTGCTTATAATTTAAGGGACTAATATCGAGTTATTAAAATTTTGAGGGACAAAAATGTGAACAAGCCAAATTTTAAATTTTTTTTTGAAAACTCTCTCAGCTATGGGGATTGTTTCAAAAAACCCACTCAATTGATTTAATTTGGCAAAACATTCTAGCTATAAGGGTGTTATAGATAGCCCCTCTTAACTTTGGTACGATTTAGGAAAAAACCTCTTGACTATGGCGTGTCTCATAAAAACTCCTCTGATCTTTTACACTTCTCTCAACAAAACCCCTTAATGCGGTTACTTGAATATGTGATTTGGAGAAAATACCCTATTGAAGAAAGCTATTTTAGTTAAAAACTCTCAACCTATAATAAAAGGATCACGACCACTTTATAATTCTTTTTCCTTCTATATCTCCTTTTTTTCTTTAATCTAGCAAAAATTAAGCTAATTCTTTTATGGTTGAGGGATATTTTGGACTTTCCAAATTAAATAATTATCATATAATAGATTAGACTCAATGATATTAGTTCTGAGCAGTTAAGTGAGAAAATTTTATAGGATTAAATCAAAGAATTGAAGTTGAGAAAGGGATATTAGTTCTGAGCAGTTAAGTGAGAAAATTTTATAGGATTAAATCAAAGAATTGAAGTTGAGAAAGGTTATCTACAACACCCCAAATTTGTGAGAAAATTTTATAGGATTAAATCAAAGAATTGAAGTTGAGAAAGGTTATCTACAACACCCCAAATTTAACGAAGATTTACTTAGTTTCAAGTTAACAATTTTCATGGCCAAATGCCAGAATTCGAGGTTTGTCACTCATGTCCCTTTAGTGTCCTACTAACTTGGAGACTAGATATGGTAGGAGACCTAGTTCACCCATGGTTTACTTGTCAACGTGGGGGGCTCGAACTTAGGTCTAGGCTGGGGATCCTTCTGTCTTACTAGGCTTCCCTCATATCCAAAAATAAAGTTGATGGGTTTTTTTGACATTGCCCCCCATAGCTAAGAGGGTGTTTTCTAAAATTAACTTAAAACGCAACTTAAGGCACGTGTGACTTTAATCTTATAAAAGTAATTTTTATGTCAATTATATCACTCTATGAACTGATTTGGGTTATGTATCTTAAAATCATCCTATACAACAACTCTGAAAATCTTTTGCTATAAGAATCTCTAAGAGAAATTTAATCTTTATTTGTGAAGGGTATGTAATCCTTCTGATTCACCTTGCCTTTCATGATTTGTAATAAACTATTGGACAAAATAAATTAAATTGTTCATTTTTATAGTTCACACATTCTTATAAGTTTATGAAGCACGTAGCTTGGGTATGGGTATTGTTGCGGATAATGGATTCTTATAACTCTCAACCTAATTTTTTGAATATTGTTTGACATTGGATAAATTTGAATTATTTGTTAAAATACAATACATAGTGCATAATAAGTATAAATCATTCTCATATTATTTTTTATAATTTTATGAAACTAGAGAGTAATCGTTTTGACAAATCAATTAATTAGTTGGGAAGATGTAGAAAGACTACATATCTGATTTTGAAATTGATCATATAATTTATGTTTTTTATTGATTGAATTTGCACATTCTGACGAATAAGATTCTAGAAAAAAAGGTTTTGAATATCTATAATACTTGGTCGTCGGATAAACAACAAGTGGAAGTAAACAACAAGTGAAAGTGATTTCTTTATAGTTAAACAAAATCTTATATGACCAGATAAAACCTACCATTTTACTTTGATGAATTCAAGAATTTATTTTTATCATTAATAATAATAGTTTTTTATATTTGTCCCTTACATTATTAATATTTTTTAAATTATTAAATTACTCTTAAGTCATTAATATTTTAAGACTTTAATGTTAAAACCAACAAAATATTATACATGGAAATATCCAAAATTGTTTAATATAGTACGACAATCATAAACGTTTTTTTTGCAAACATGTTATAGTGAATAAATAAACTTAAAATAAATATTTTAAATATTTGACCACGTCCACGTGCATTTCACCTAGGTACTTTACAAAATGACCCAGTGATAAATAAAAGGGCTTTTTGTCTTTAGGTCCAATAGTTTACCTCCCTTTATTTTTAAACCCAAGTAGTATTAGTTGTATCTCTAAGCCCAAATTTCTTTTTGTATTTGTCTTTAAACCCAAATCCAAAATACAATACTTTCAGCAGTAGTATTTATACATAATCAAGGCAAAAACCCCAAAATACCCCCTTTCCCCATATCAACGTCTTTCTCCTCAAAATCCCTATTTCACCTCAGCCCTAAATTGAAAAAGAGAACTCCAGCTATCGTCGCCCGCTCCAGCCGCCGTGACCGAGATCTCGCCGTCGTCGCCCGCTCCACCCGCCGTGATCCAGATCTCGCTGTCGCCCGCTCCAGCCGCTCGAGGCCGCCGTGACATTAGCTCTCGCCGCGACCCCGATCTCGCCCGCTCCAGCCCGCAGCAGCTGTCGCCTGACCCAGGCCGTCGCCCGTAGGCGTTATCGACCGTCCCAGACCGTCGCCCGCAGCCGTGACCCAAGTCCCAGACCGTTGCCGTCGATCGCGGCGTCTATCTCGCTGTCCCCTTGCCGCCGACGGATTTCGCAGTCGACATTGTCGTCATCATTGCCGTCGAACTCATCGTTTCAGGTATTGATTTGCAAGAGCGTTGGCTGTGTTTTCGTCGATTTTTTTTTTTTTGATATTTGATACTCATCTTTTCATTTCTTAGTGATGTGTCTTAGTATTCCTAGTTCATTGGTGTTACTTGCATTGTTATTAAGCCATGCGGACCACTTTACTGATATATCCCAGAGTTACAGATGAACGCTGAATTTGAGTACCAATGGGACTGAAGTTGCAAAATTTTAGTTAGTCTCAAACTCTTGCAAATCAATACCTGAAACAATGCAAATAACAAAAGTTCTGTTATTGTTAACATTTGATACAAAAAAATTACTAAGAAATGAAAAGAAAATGAAAAATATTGATCTGTAATAGTTTGATATTGTACATATGTATGTCTGTTACAAGATTTTTTTCACTGAGAGAGAAAAGGAGAAATTCTAAATAGGTTGTAAATAGGTTGATATAAAGATAAAGCGTGATAATTCGAGAATTGAGATTGTCTGTTACAATTTTGAAATCATAGGCTTTGAAATGAAATTTGTTTCAATGAAGGAATTATGTACAATATTGATAGACAACTAAAGTTGCCTTATGTTTTATGGTTGCAGAATATTTTATCCGATGGCTTTAGTGCGAATTCCATCAAACATCGGGTACTTCCGGGACCTTCAAGAACAAATTTCTGGTTATTTATCGGAAGATCAACGAATTGTCCTGCGTGAGACTCCATTTTATGGCTACATAGACCTTCCAGATCTTCCAATGCAACCAGTTATTGTTGATTGCGTGAGACTCCATTTGTACAAATATATTTTGGAAATTGATTTGTGACGTATTTGTATAAATGTATATTGATAGAAATGCCAAGTTCTGTGGCAATGCAATATTGTATGGTGTATGTAGATTGTCTGGAAATGTTGTATGTGCTGGAAATATGGTATGTTGTATGTATGTTCTGTGGCAATGTCCCTCCGCGGGTATATGTCCGATGCTATTGAGTTTAGAGTGAAGCTTATTTCTACCATTCCCGATGCTTGGAACTTAGACATTAATTCTTGTCAGGAGGTAGAAAGTGTTGATGTACCGCAACAACGTGGGTTAGTGTATTCGACTTATTCATATGTTGTTTTTTAATGTGCTAACACTCACATAGAGAGTATATATTGCGGGCCAAGAGTGTTATATTGATGTTGCAAACATTTAAACTTGCAGTAGTATGGATTGCGGGGTGTTCTTGATGGCGTACATGTTTAGCCTCGTTTCCGGTCAACCAGTTTCAATTCACCAGAAGGATTGTGCAAGACATAGAGCTCGCATTGTTGCTCTAATTCTATCTGAAGGTACATTTTTTATACGTTTAATGTTCATTCAAACGCTATATTCATTGTATTGTTCTTTTGATCCACTTACATGTTGCTTTCAGGAAATCAACCATCATGACCCTCAAGAATGCTACATGCCATATTTGTTCTTTTGATCCACTTATACTCAGTGTGTTGTATTGTTCTTGTCAGGATGCTACATTGCCAATTGTGATATCCAATATTTTTTGTGTACAAATATATTTTGGAAATTGATTTGTGACGTATTTGTATAAATGTATATTGATAGAAATGCCAAGTTCTGTGGCAATGCAATGTTGTATGGTGTATGTAGATTGTCTGGAAATGTTGTATGTGCTGGAAATATGGTATGTTGTATGTATGTTCTGTGGCAATGCAATGTTGTATGTTGTATGTGCTGGAAATGTTGAATATATTGATAGAAATGCCAAGTTCTGTGACAGGTTAATGTTGTATGGTGTATGTAGATAGTCTGGAAATGTTGTATGCGCTGGAAATATGGTATGTTGTATGTATGTTCTGTGGCAATGCAATGTTGTATGTTGTATGTGCTGGGAATGTTGAATATATTGATAGAAATGCCAAGTCCTGTAAGTATAGCACGTTAACCAGTAAGTATAGCACGTTAACCTGTAAGTATAGCACGTTATGTCGTAAGTATAGCACGTTAACCTGTAAGTATAGCACGTTATGTCGTAAGTATAGCACGTTAACCTGTAAGTATAGCACGTTAACCAGTAAGTATAGCACGTTAACCTGTAAGTATAGCATGTTACATCGTAAGTATAGCACGTTAACCTGTAAGTATAGCACGTTACATCGTAAGTATAGCACGTTAACCTGTAATATACTTACAAGTTAACGTGCTATACTTACTGAATAACATGTTATACTTATAGGTTAACGTGCTATACTTAGATGATAACGTGTTATACTTTCATGATAACGTGTTATACTTACAATATAACATGCTATACTTACATGATAACGTGCTATACTTACAATATAACATGTTATACTTACAGGTTAATGTGCTATACTTACATGATAACGTGTTATACTTTCATGATAACGTGTTATACTTACAATATAACATGCTATACTTACATGATAACGTGCTATACTTACAATATAACATGTTATACTTACAGGTTAATGTGCTATACTTACAGTATAATGTGCTATACTTACAGTATTAATGTGCTATACTTACAGTATAACATGCTCTACTTATATTAATATGCTATACTTATAAGTCTGGTAATTCATGCTATACTTACATGTTATCATTCTATACTAAGATCAAATTTAACAAAAATTTCATCAATTATAACAAATTTAACTAATATTTAACTAATTGTTATGAATTCATAACAATAACATTTTACTAAAAATAATTATGTGAAATAACATTATGTGAAATAACTAATTATGTGAAATAATAATGTGAAATAAGAAGTGCAAAATAATTATGTGAAATAACTAATGTGAAATTAATGGGTGGTTAATTACAAAACCTCAGTTATCTAACATTTTACTAAAAATAACGAATTAAAATTTTTTTATGAACTCATTTAACTAACTTATCAAATAATTGTCATGGTTAAAATGAGAAATTAATGTTAACAACTTGGTAGTTGAGTAAATTGTAAATTTCTACCTTCAAATACTAAGAAAGTTGGTGAGAATTAATTGATGGGTTGTAGGAGAGAGTGATTAAATGATGGGTTATAGGAGAGAGTGTTGAGTTCTATTAATGGAGTGAGAGAAAGGGAGAAGAAGAGGGGGGCAGAGAGAGGACGGAGAGAGAATGGAGGGGGGAAATTTACCGCCAGTTTCCCCCCTCTCTCTCCATTTCGTTTATTTTATTTAAGGGGGACCCACTTAAATGAATTCTATAAGTGGGAGGGTATAACCGGAATTTAAGAAAAATATATGGGGGGACCCACTGCTGAAAGTATTGTATTTTGGATTTGGGTTTAAAGACAAATACAAAAAAAAATTTGGACTTAGAGATACAACTAATACTACTTGGGTTTAAAAATAAAGGGAGGTAAGCTATTGGACCTAAAGACAAAAAGCCCTAAATAAAAGGGCAGATCTTTTCGGGGAGCACCAAACCCTGTTCGGAGCTCCGATAACAGAGAGAAAGAGGCCCGATCTTCTTCTCCCGACGGCAGAGCGAAGAGGAAGAGATCCGACCTTCGTCTTCTTTCGATAGCTTCAATGGCTCCCGAACCCGAAGAGTTGAACGAGAAGAACCCTCCTCCCCTGGACGAGGACGATATCGCCCTTCTCAAAACCTACGTAAAGCATTTTCTGCGCAATTTTTATTCGATCTGTGTTTCTTTTTCGTCTCGGATGTTGAGGGTTTTCTTGATCTTGGCGCTCGATTCGGTTTTTTTTTTTATATTCTTTTTCCCTCTCACGGTAAAAGGGGTTTCGTTTTCACTTGTTGTTATTATGGCCTCGATTGATTGATTGCAGGGGCTCTGGCCGTACTCGGCGAGCATCGAAAAAGCGGAGAAGGAAATAAAGGAGATGGCCAAGAAAGTCATGGACTTATGCGGTGAGCGCCTCGTTCATTGGTTCTTCCTTAAAACAATTTAATTTATTTAGCACCAAATCATTTTAAAGGGAAACATATATACTCGTTAGACCATCTTCAACCCATTGCATCAAAATGGTGCAAATTTTGCATCAAAATGGTGCAAAAGTCACATCAAACAGTAATACATCTCCAACCCATTGCACCATTTTTTGCACCAAAAAAGAATATTCTTAGTTTATTTCTTTTTATCTATTTTTATATTAATTAAGAGGTAAAAATAAATATTTAATTTTTTTAAAAAAAATGAACAGTAATGGGGCAGATGAACAGTGCAACGCCATATTTGGTGCAGCACTGTTCAACTGCACCAAAATGATGCAGAAAATGAAACTGGGTTGGAGAATGAACAGTGCAACAAAAAGCACTGTTTGCACCATTTTGGTGCTGGGTTGGAGATGCCCTTATGCACAAGTGTTTCGTATTTAACGATGAAGTCCTTGAAAGACTATTAATTAGCGGCATGAAAGCAGTACAATTGCTTTCTAGTCTATACTTCGATTTCTAGTGTTAAGTAGGCAGCGCAGTTTTGCCGATAACATGCAAACAGAATTACATTTATTTGTGTTATATGTTTGTACGTGTTGTCGCCGCCGCCGCTGTTGTTGTTGGGGTTACCGGTGTTTGTAGTAGTGTTGTGAGTAACGAGGTTTCTGTGCCTTGTCCTTGACTTGGGGTAAATAGACAGGGTCGATCCACTTGAGTCCACACGTGCGGTTACATATGTTCAGACGATCGCAGAAACCAATAGAGTAGGTTTCTTTATATGTGTCTTGGACGCAGCAGGCTGATTCCCTTTCATATCCTTCTTGCCTCACAAACAATAAAAGGCAAAGGGCATATAAGTTTCTCTTTAACGTTTTTGGTTGAGAGAGTTGTAAACAAGGGACGCAGCAGGCTGATTCCATTTAACGTTTTCAAATACATGATTGATAATTTTAATGCTATCTTGTTCAATATATTCATGCTATTCCTGAATGAGTTATGTACATGCATGTGCATATTTTGATAATTCAAAAAGTTTACAAAAAGCCCCTTAAATTTTGCAAAAAACCCCCAATAGTTAAAAAAAACCCCCTAAAAGTTTACAAAAAACACCTCCTAAAAGTATTATACATATATAGATATTATAGTTAAGTGGGCAAATGGGCGACCCGTTTATTAAATGGGCGGCCCGTTTATTAAATGGGCGGGTAAAAACCCGCCCATTTAGAAAATGTTAAATGAACCATAAATGGGTAAATGGGCAAAACATGCCCGTCTATTTATAGCCTGCCCATTTAATACCCAAATCCACCCGTTTAACATTCCTACATGGACCTACCATTTCTATTTATCATACAATTGTTGTTAAGAGAGAACCTCTTGCTGGAAGGCGCCGAGGATTTGTTGTACAAATACAAGCTACTGCCAGTTCATAATAAATGGAGGTTCTTTGAATAAGATGAATGACTGTAAGTTTTTAAGAGGATGTCAGCACAACCAGAAGGAAACTATGCTGAAGCTAGTTCGAGTGTATATAAAATTGAATTTTTGTAGAACGTGAGCAATATTGATTCTTGTAGTCATCATGAATAGTTTTGTTATTTACGGAGCATTGAAAGATAGAATGTTTTCTATGCAGAAAGAGACATCGACTTACTTGGCAAGCAACAATTGATTCACACTTATGAGCGAAGATTTGATTACACCAACTACATCATCACACAATAAATGAATAGAGCGTCCTGGCTCTTTGATAGAGTCTATTCCTACTGATACAGGAGATATTCATAATGCGAACATGCTATGGTGAAGACTGATTCTGAAATAACTATTTGGTGGAAAATTTGTAATAAGAAAAATGAAAGAATTGAATTTGATTTATTCCCTCTAACTGATTTAGAGAAAGAATGTTTACAACTCTCTCAACCTCGAATACAATTTGAATTTTTATTCCCTCTAACTGATTTAGAGAAAGAATGTTTACAACTCTCTCAACCTCGAATACAATTTGAATTTTCTGATTACAAAAGAGAATTTAGAGAAAGAATGTTTACAACTCTCTCAACCTCGAATACAATTTGAATTTTCTGATTACAAAAGAGAATAAGATCGACGGAGATCCTCTTTTTTTAAGTCTGGGTTCTTCACGGTGACGATGGAATACCTCCCTTGAATGCTCGCGTTGAGCTTGCTTTTCGTTGACAATCCGATGTTTCGCTTCACTGGAACGATATCTTCTCCTCACGATTTGACGTTGTGGAGAACTTGCAAAGCAAGTTTGAAATTAACTCTTGATGAGTTGATAACTCTGAATGAGTTAGAGTTGATTTAACCGAGATCGATTTATAAGTTAATGATGAAGAAAGCTCCTGTTGTCGATCTCCAAAGTTCCAGCAATTCCCCTAAAAAGCCAGCGATCCAAAAAGGGAGCCCTTAACTCAGTTGAGTTTGCCCATATTTATAGGGGGATTAAGGGGTGTAACTGCTTACTTAATTCGTTCTTAAGTGGGACGAAAATCCCTCCAATCGTGGGGAGAAACGGTTTCTGGAACCGTTCAGCTCGAGCTTGAACGAGTCAAATGCCGAAAATAGCGTTCTGAACCCGAACTCTGCGTTTTAGACCTGAAACGCAGAGTTGGGCATTTCCAATTGGCTCAAAACGCAGTGGCCGCATCGTTTTAAGAGTCTGAGATGTAGGACTGAACTCTGCATTTGGATATGGAACGCAGAGTTGGGTTTTGCGTTTTGGGCTAAAAACGCAGCAATTAAGGCTGCGTTTGGATCTGGAACGGAGTGACGAACCCTGCGTTTTGGGTTGAAAATGCAGCAGTGAGCTCTGCGTTTGGATCTGGAACTCTGCGTTTTGATTTGAAGAGACCATCAATTTGTAGTCTCTTTTATTAGAGCGTTGCAAAGATCATCACATTATAACCTTCGTCGTGACTCCTTGAAAATATGAGAGTTGTCAGATTGTCACTCCCGATATTGATTGTGAAGGCTGTTGAATAAAGCTTTCATCAGTTGTTATAAAGGTCGTCAGATTGTAACATTCATCGATCTACGTGAAAGTCTTCAAATTATAGCATTCTGAAAGCCGTCAAATTATAACTTCCATCATCGTTGTTTGATGGGGATAAGCTATCTGCAGTGATTTTTAGACAACCTACAGTAACCAAATACGAAGTAACCAAATACGAAAGGAACTCGCAATCACTTTTCTTCAACCCACAACAATTCACCGTCGCATAACCTTCATATGCACTACATAAAAGGTTATGTGATCAATAAGCAAAAAGGGTATAATATATAATTCTATAAAAGTAGAACATAGTAATCTATCTGAGAATATGATATGACAGACAATTTCATGAAAAGCCATAATACTTATAAGATGCGTCGGAATGAAGTGAGAAACTACCACAGGGGACTACTTGATGCAAACCGTATGATATTATGTGTGCGCTAATTGAGATAAAAATGGAAATAAGTTCGCGACTAAGTTCTTAGGTAAATACCCTGACAGATGGTGTAGTTCAAGTAGAGGGAAGGAAAGGAGGACTAAGTTCTTAGGTAAATACCCTGACAGATGGTGTAGTTCAAGTAGAGGGAAGGAAAGGAGGCAAGCGGAGTAAGCAAGCGGTCTTTTATGTTAAGTGGCTTAGGTATCGGTTCAAATTCAAAATTCAGGCTTGATATTACCACAAACAGAGTATGCACTAGCATGAGATCACTTAGCACTCGTACAATCCCACAATTATTCATGCGGTCTCTGCTATTCTTCAGTTTCATTCTGGAAAGAAGTGTATGAAAACACGAGTTTCTTATGGATACCGGAGCAGATAAAAACGCTTTTTTGAGCACTGCTCTCTACGGTTTTCTTGAAATATGGGCTGCTAGTCCATGCCCATACGATTCTAATCCGAGAAGTCCATGCCCATATATATATATTAAGCAGCTCAGGTACGTATGTTTTGGAGATTTATCAAACACGCGCGTGTGTATGTGCACACGTATATGTGTACGTACATATGTGCACATAAATAACTACAGCAGGCTGTCTATCTGCAATGAATGATACTTTTTTATGATAACAAGAAGCTGACACAGATCACTCGGAGTTGGATTTGGGGTTAATTTTCTTCGTGCAGCTTAAACACTTTGTGGAACTAATTCTTTGAGCTCTCTTGAGCTGCTACTTAGAATTCTCATCCAACACCTCATTCTTGATGCTATCTAGTACCTACAACTGACATCGCCATATTTTTCACTAATTCCACATATTATGCAGGAGAAAGATCTGTATTTGAACACGGTAAAATCTGGAAGCAAGCGGTTAACAAAGCAACCATTAGATCTTCATCTACAAATGCTTCTAAGAGACTGCACTGAGCAATTAGATTTATTTACTTTTGAGCGCTTTCTTTTAGTGGAATTAGTCCAAGCATGTTTCCAGCTGCTCTCGGCCGGGTCAGAAGAGTCCATGAAAAATAACCAGTATACTCTTGGTTCTCACGGAACTGTAAGTGTCCTCATTGTTAGGTTTGTGTAATCATTCAAAACTCAGTCAAACGTGCAGATTTTTTGTACTTGTGCGATACTTTGCTAAAGAGTGCAACCGTGTGATGTTACATATATGAATCAATGCGTTATTTTCCCTCAAGGAAAGCATTATTATTTATTGTGCGAGGGCATGTACAGGGTTATTGTGATGTAAACATTATTCAAAGAAGAAACAACCCCGCAAACAGTTATACAATGTACTCTCATTCACAACGAAAATTGACAAGAAAAGCATTGTCACTGTTATGCCACAAAATCGACCTTTGAGAAACTACTAATATGACAATGCCACGTGTCCTACTAAGAAATCTGCTATAGAGCCAAATAGTCTGAGCAAACAAACCAAACAGGTGGGTAGACATCGTCTCGAGCAGCATGGTCGCCCATCCCTTGTTTAAGGTTGATCCACGTTCGCTCCTTCAAAATTATGCCAAATTGTCTGAGCTCCGCTCAAATACCTTGCTTGCCAAGGCAAGTTGAATGCAATTTACCCTCATGTCACATGATACGATTCTAATCAACTCACATGAGGGCACGACTACAATCATCAGTATTATTCTCGCCATGCCCCCTCTTGCCATCTTAACTGCCTCGACCAATTTCAGAGGGACATGTGGACAATTCAATTACAGAGGAGGCTTCCATATGGCTCACTTGGGAAGGCCAGATGACGCCACATGGACTTCCCTCTCTTCCGACCTATCCCCCAACTTAGCATAAATAGAAGTAACAGTGGTAAAAAATCTCTAAGTCTAATTTCATTCTTAATTTTGAATTAGATTTCCACTATCATCATTCAACAACCACCGACTTAAGCATTAGATAGTCATCAGGACGTCAAGCCTTGGTGCATTCTAATAGTTAGTTTAGTGGTTTGCAGAAGGTACATGTGGACAATTCAATTACAGAGGAAGTTTCCATATGAATCACCTGGGCCGTCCAAATGACACTACGTGGACTTCCCTCTCTTCGCGATCTATCCCCCAACTTAGCATAAATAGAGGTAATAGTGGTAACAAAATCTATCCCTTTTCTTTACCTTGGTCTTCCTCTCAAAAGAGGATCCCTCACCAGAAGGGAATGACAACCCTTGCTTGATTCCTTCTCCAGAAAACTTGCATTGTGGGAAAACAAGTCATTGTCTATTGGAGGAAGACTCACCCTAATAAATTCAGTTCTATCCTCTCTCTCCCTCTATACTATATGTCATTTTTTAAACCCCATATCTGGCTCATCAAGGCAATAGACAAAATCAGAAGTTCCTTCCTATGAGGTGGCCTTCAACAGACCTGATCAGTGAAATGCTTAATCAATTGGAACAAAATTTGCTCTGCGAAGAGTGAGGGTGGATTAGAGGTCATCAATCTTCAACTCTTCAACTCTTCTCTCCAATCTAAATGGATATGGAAAATTTTAGACAGAAAATCCTACATCAGTAAAGTCTTTTTCTTTTTATACTCCTCCAATTTGTCCAACCTAATATCTAGCCCCCCTAAAGCTTCAACATTAAACTGATCAAAGATCTTTTCTCAATTCAAGACCCTTTCTTTAGCCAGGTTTTATGGCAATTAAGTGTAGGAAATACATGCATATTTTGGAAGGACAAATGGGTGGGAGATAACACTCTCAGCAGCCTCTTTTCTTCAGTATACCAGCTAGCCTTCTCTGGTAACAGCTCATTGCGCTCCCAAGGAATATGCTCTCTTAACAATTGGTGTTGGCATCCCATCCTCAGAAGAGGTAGTTCTTTAGACATCAGGTCAGAAATCACTAAGCTTCGTCTCCTTCTAGATTCATCCAAGTCCAGATGCCTCTCGTCCATATAGTATGATCGATATGGATTCACCCCTTCAGGCTCTTTCACAGTTAAATCATATTACAACATCTTAAACCACAGAGGTATCACCTATCATCTTTTCAACTTCATTTGGAAATCCCCTATACCTCTAAAGGTTAAGGTCTTTCTGTGGATCCTTAGCCACCACAAGCTCAACACAAAAGATAACCTCTCCAAAAAAGAATGGAACGGGGATCAAATTTTCTCTCTGTGTAAGATTGATATGGAATCGCATGATCACCTCTTTAATAATTTCCTTTTCACTAGACATGTTTGGTCTATTCTTATCCCTTTCGAACAGATTGAGAACTGGCCACAAGACATTGATTCACTATTCTCAGCAAAGAACTCCCACTTGACTAATAAGAAACTTATTTTTCTTTGGAAGGTCATCTTCTCTTGCTACTGTTGGTGGATCTGGAATAGCAGGAACAACCTTATCTTCAATGATATTATGGTATCCCCTCAGCAACTAGCCGCTAACGTAGCTCGTTTCACTCTTTTCTGGACAGGAGCAACAAGCAATAGAAAGACAACAGCTCTCCATAGTACTGCCTTGGATCTGGGTCTGAAGGATTTGACCAAAAAAGGTGGGGGTGATTCAGAGGGAGATAACTTCTAATCATCCACCTCCTAAGCTTTTGCAGTGATTTTCTAAGTCTTTTGTAACTATAATCAGCATACTCTAATTTCCAGTTGTTTCTTCTCTCCCCTCTGGCTTTTTTATGTTGAAATAGTTGGAACTAAGTAGTTATTGTCTGGACGGTGATGACAAGGTCCGCTCCCCTCCGACCACATCTTCTTTTGGTTCCACCTCCTTAGCACCGTTGCCAGCTTTTGTATATCCTATAGTTACATCTATATATATATGAACATGGTTTTCAACCCTGTTTTTACTTTTCAAAAAAAAAAATAGTGGTAACAAAATATCTAATTAAGTCTAATTTCATTCTTAATTTTGAATTATATTCACTATCATCATTCAACATCCACTGACTTACAACATTAGATAGTCATCAGGACGTCAAGCCTTGTGCATTCTAACAGTTAGTTCAGTGATTTGCAGAAGGGACTCCACCAACAAATTTGGCAACCAAAGAGATAAGGGAGCCCCAGAACAACAAATCTGAGCTCTGACAACTCTCCTCATAATGTTTTTTTTTTCACCCAAAACTGTCACAACAAAGGCAATATTCACAACAAAGACACATATGTGATGTGCACATCCAGACCTTTTGTATTTTTGTTAAATAATAGATGGATTTCTTAGTAAATTTTGTGCACAACCATAGGGTTATAGATCATTCTAGCATAAATTCATTTTAGAAACCAGTCACGGGCTCCTCATGCTAAGTACTAAAATAATTAAATAAAGTAATTAGGACCTACACATATTAATTTTTCTCTTAATAATCTTAAATTATTTTTATCCTGTTTAATTTGTTTTCTTTACATTGGCCTGGCCTGCTGAAACCTATTCTTGTAGTGTACTGGGCCCAATACTGTTTGTACTAGCAGCTACATTTTGGGCAACTCAAAGATTACTCTTATGTGTAGGCTGTTGCTCTTTATTTTCAATGGAAATTTCAGTTTTGTAGTTGACCTATTTTCGTTTGGGAAAAACAAAATTGATATTGATTTTGAAATTTTTATTGCTAATTTGCGATAGTTAAATATATATATATATATATATATATATATATATATATATATATATATTATATATATATATATTATATAATATATATGAATAAATTTTCACTGTAGACCCAAATGAGATTTTAATTACCAAAATCGACTGTTTTTTTTAATTACCAAAATCGACCCGTTTTATGCCACGTAGGATTAATCATGTTTCCTAATTAGTCGGGTTGGCAACCCCGACTGTTTAGGAATTGTTAAACCCCAATTAATGGGTATCCTTGTCATAGGAGGGGATTTCCTTCTTAACGCCTCTAAAATCACATGATTGATGACATTGTGGATGATCCGCTCGTTGAACTTGATCTACATATTCTAAAATCCTAACACACTAAGTTTGGGGTGAATCCGTCGTCGTTTGACCCTTCATCCACTCGTATCAATTTTAACGGTTTTGAATGAATAGAACTTTTAACATGGCTCGATGGAGGATCAAATGACGACGGATTCACCCCAAACTTGATGTGTTGGGGTTTTAGAATATGTAGATCAAGTTCAACGGAGCCGGATCATCCACAATGTCGCTCAATCATGTGATTTTAGAGGCGTCAAGGAGGAAATCCCCTCCCCTATGACAAGGACACCCATTAATCTCATATATATATATATATATATATATATATATATATATATATATATATTATATATATATATATATATATATATAATATATATTATATTATATATGAAATAGGCACTCTTATGCTCAAGTTACCTCAAGAAATTAATATTACAATGACAGAATATGAGCGGTGTTTCAGATCGGCTACATGACTAATTTTGATCCATTCATCTCTGTTGAGAGCCATAGCCTTTATTCGAGTAAGAGAGATTATTTTTACTACCTTGATTCATGTTATTTTAGCTTTTCTCCTAGTTTTTATCGATGCATAGGCTAGGATCATGTCAGGTGCTTGAGATTCTTTCCTCTCCTAAGAGCAAGTGCAGCAAGCTCCCAGTTGGGAGTCCTAGTCAGCAAGCTCTCAAGAGCTTTCAATCATTTTAGAATAAAAAATTAACAAATTAAGCCTTGAGAGGCACTTCTTCTTTTATGGAGCTCCAACAAGCTCCTAGTTAGGAGCTCCAACAATAACAAAAAACCCCTCTTCTATCAAAAAACCTATCAAAAAAACCCCTCTTCTATTAAAAAACCCCTCTTCTATTGCAAAGGTACAAAAGAAAGGAGTTTTTTGTTAAAATTTTTTTAATAGCTTGGGAGCTCCCAAGCGCTCCACAAATTTGTGGAGCGCTTGGGAGCTCCGTGGCACAAAACCCTACGCTTTGTGCCACGGAAGCTCTCAGAGCTCCCTTAGGAGCTTGCTGGAGCAAGTCCAGCAAGCTCCCACCGCCACCTCAGCCTTAGGAGGTGGGGTGGGAGCTTGCTGCACTTGCCCTAACTGTTGTTGTCCTTTCGTTGCACATGCTAAAACCATTAAGGAGATGCTTCCTCATTATACTTCTTCTACATTAGCTGTATAATTTTCATCTTGTAAAAGAGTGCTACACATAGGCTAGATTGTAACTGCAGCTGCAATGCAAATGTCACTTGCATGCAACTGAGACGTTGCAACTA